CTAACCTGTAGCTGTGCTATTTAATCACTGATGTTGATTCTCTAGGGAAGTGATGGTACTTAAGAAACTTAAATAAAATATTGGTAGGGATCATAAAGGTTTGGGTAGATTGGGAGCATACTTTGTGAAGATCTGTTCCATTTGATTAGGATATTGGAAGAGAGAAACAAGAATGAATGTGATAGGTAAGCAGCCAGTTTTTTACGTGGTATCAGGACAGGATTTGTATGTATTCTGTGCAAGGTACTGTGCTTGGTACAAAGGATACAAAGATACATATGAACTGGTGCTTATTATTGAAAAATTACATTCTACTGGGGGCTATATATACTAGTAGTATATACTATATATAGTATATACTATAGTATATACTATATATACTTGAAAATTGGGGGAAAGTACACTAGCAACTTATAGGTATAACTTAATAGAGGAAATGGTACCTCATTTGAGCCCTGAAGGAAGGCTTTGTGAGGAGGGGATGAGTAGGGAATGCATTCAAGTTGGAGAAATGGCTTTAATTTACAGATGCAGGAAATGGTACATGGTAGCCAAGTTGTGGGGGTCCTTAAAATAACAAAATAAAGAATTTCTTAAAGGCAGTGGAAACCACCGAGACTTTAATGACACGATCAAACTTGAACTTTAGATTGTTTTGACAGCTGTGTGGAGTATGAATTGGAGAGGGGAGGGACTGTAAGCATTGAGACAAATTAGGGGATCTTTCAGTGGTGTATATAAGAGGTTATAGGAGGGTTGAAATAGAGTGGTAGCTGTAGTGGACGGAGGTTATAGAGGTAAAACAAAACCTCAAGAACTTTGGCAGTGATGAGAAATAGATGGAACTTTAGTTAAATAGGATAGAAAAGAAAGTGAAACAAGTGGTTTTTTTTTTTATGTATAAGATCAGGGAGCCTGACAAGATATTTGCTATAGTAAAGAATGGAGATATCTATTACCTCCTAAGGAGTGAAGGAAGAGAGAAAGTGATTGTGTTTTGAAAAATGAAAGCAAGAAGCTGAGCCAGTAATGATAGGCACCCACAATATGCATGGAAGTAGGAGCTTAGGTCATCTGCTATAAAAGTGAGGATATAGTAATATTTGGGAGGGAGAGGAGAGAATATCATTATTATAGTCATTTTGGAAAATGATAAAGAATTGTTAAGAATTGAGTGGTGGGGTTTTCCCCAGCAATAGTAAAGACCCAATTGAGGTTAGGTGCCCCAAAAGTCTGTCCAGTAATGCTCAGGAGTGCTATAATACTGTCTAGAGATATCTGAGTTAGATAAGGACCAGCTGTAAAGGAATGATAGCAGGAAGGGAGAGGAGGAAAAGATTCTATGGCATTAGGAATCTGTAGTATTAGATAAAGTTTAGGTGTGAAAGTTATTGACTGAAAGAGATAAATTAATAATGAGTGCTTACTAAATGTCAAGTACTGTGTTAACTTTGGGAATACAAATAGAAGCCAAAAGTGTCTGTCCTCAAGGAGTTTGCATTGTAATGACACAAGACAACCCATTAAAGATGAGAGGTGGTTGAGGGCAAGGAAGAGAGGAGTTGATTATAATTAGGAATTTTATGTTCTTAAATGTTATTTCTTTTTTTATCTCCATAGCTTTAATTTTTTCTTTTTTTAATTTTAGTTTTCAACATTCGCTTCCACAAGATTTTGAGTTCCAAAATTTCTCCCCATCTTATCCCTCCACCCACCCCAACATGGCGTGCATTATGAATACCTCTTCTCCTAATCTGCCCTCCCTTCTATCTCTCCCCTCCTCATCCCTTTTCCCTTCAGTTTTCCTGTAGGGCAGGATAGATTTCTATACCCCATTTCCTGTATATCTTATTTCCCAGTTGCATGTGAAAACTTTTTTTTTACTTTTGTTTTTAAAACTTTGGGTTTTAAATGTTATTTCTAAAAAGCATTTATTGATTACTATGAGATAGCCACTGTGTGGCTTTAAAAATATCTCGTGATTCTCACAATAACTCTGGAAGGGAAGTGCTGTTATTCTCATTTTACAGTTGAGGAAACTGAGGCACAGAGATCAAGTGACTTGCCCAGAGTCACACAGCTTGAGAGAGTCAGAGGCTAGATTTGAACTCAGGTCATCCTGATTTCAGGGCCGGTGCTCTATACACTGCACCACCTAGCTGCACTGAGCTTATTCTTCATATCACATTTTTTACATACTTAGATACCTAAAATGATCTGTTACTTCAGTGTCGATACTCCCTTTAGTTGTGCACCTAGCTTTGGGTACGTTATATTGGGATTCTGGTCTACCTTCAATGCTATTACATGTTTAATTAAATTAAATATTTAAGGCTATTAAAATTTTATTAATGCTCCATTGAATGCTTTCTCAACTTAAATTTTGCTCAGGTCTTCCTAACTCCAAGGCCAGAGCTTTATCCACTACACTACCTAGTTGCCCCTAAAATAAACATTTTCAGTAGTGGCCAGCTCCACTGTTCTCTCTGTAAAATCTGGACAGGATGGAAAGGAAAAAAGGATTAGAATTAGTAAGATGCATGGGAAAGAATCCCTTTTTTAAAATGTTTAAAGATTAGGGACATTTAATATTGGTAGTATTAGAATGATAAAAAGTTGCCTTTGACCTGCGTAGGTGGAAACATTGCAGTAATTCCTCTTGTGGGACAAGGGCCATGATTATCCTGGCAGACACTTTTGGTCTCTAGAGAGTGTGGATACCTTTGGATTGAGGCTAAATTCAGGGAAGCTAGTTAGGCCCTGTAGCATTACAAAGTAGTCCCAGTATTTTTAACTACAGTCAACCTAAGCAAAGATTTGGTCACCATTGTGATCGGAAAATCAGCACAATTTATTGAAAGAAAATTTCAAATGTGTGCCTTACACTTACAAAAGTGAAATCATAGGCGAGTGCTTTTTTTTTAAAAAATAATATTTTATTTTTTCCCCCAATTTTAAAATTTTACAATGTTCCATATCAGTCATTTTGTGAAGAATACTACGCTTCAGTCTATATTCATCAGTTCTTTTCTCTGGAGGTGGGATAGTATTTCACATGAAGCATTTGGCATTGTCTTGGATCACTGTATTGCTGCGAATAGGCAAGTTATTAACAGTTGATCATCATAACGGTGTGCTGTTACTATGTACATTGTTCTTCTGTTTGTGTTCTCCGCATCAGTCCATCTAAGTCTTTCCAGATTTTTCTGAAATCATCCTGCTTATCATTTCTTAAACCACAGTAATATTCTATTAAGATCTTATACAACAGTTTGTTTGGCTATTCCCCAACCCCCTCAATTTCTAATTCTTAGCCACCATGAAAATACAAATAGGTTCTCTTCTCTAGTCCTCCCCACTCTTTTTTTAAAAACTCTCTGTGATACATACCTATTAGTGGCATGCACAGTTTGATAGCACTTGGGACATATTTCCAAATTACTTTTCACAATGGTTGGCTCAGTTCACGACTCATCAGTAGTGTATTGATCCAGTATCCCAATTTTTCCATATCCCTTCCAGCATTTATCATTTTTCTTCTGATAGCTGTGAGGTGATACCTCAGATTTGTTTTAAAATTTACGTTTCTTTAATCAGTGGTGATTTAGAACATTTTTTTCATATGATTTAGATGGCTTTGATTTCTTTATCTGACAGTTGCCTGTTCATATACATCAGTCATTTTTATCAGTTGAGGAATGACTTGTATTCTTACAAATTTGACTTAGCTCTCTATATATTTGAGAAATGAGACATTTTGATCAGAGATACTTGGTGTAAAATCTCTTTTCCAGTTTTCTGCTTTCCTTCTAATTTTGGTTGCATAGATCTGACATGTACTATAACATACTATAACATACTCCCCTAATTTGCTTATGGTATCAGGCAAGTGCTCCCTGAGCTTTAGTTGCCTCATCAAGTGGGGTTTTAAAAAAATTATTATAATTATTTTATTTTTGGGCAATTGGGGTTAAGTGACTTGCCCAGGGTCACACAGCTGATAAGTTTCAAGTGTTTGGTCTGAGGCTAAATTTGAACTCAGATCCTCCTGACTTCAGGGCCGGTGTCCACTGTGCCACCTAACTGCCTCTCAAGTGGGCTTTTAATATTAGCACTAACTAATGGTATTGTAACAAAAGTGCTTTTTAAATCTTAACGGGCTATTTGAATGAGTAACTTGTGAACCATAACGTCAGAAGGAGCTGTATTTCTAATATGTGCAAAGAAAGTGATTTTTTTTTTAATTATAGTAGATATACCTAATTGAATATATGGGATATAGCTAAGTATGGCACCTTCTTTCTTGAGACACAGTCCACTTATATCAACCATTTGCTTGTCATTAGTCATTTCTGGTAGTTCTGTTCTTAATTCTTAACACTATTAAGCTATTTCCTGGACTTTGAAAATTAGATGTTTTGAATATATGTATAATGGATTATACAGTAAATAGTAAATGGCTATTTTTTATGTTATTATAATTTGTTTTGAAGTTGTGTCTTCTGTCATAAGTTTCGTGACTATCAGGGATAAGGACAATACCTCATCAAAGGTACTTAGGGAAGTATTTACTAAATTGAATTTAGATTTCAGATAGAAAACATTTTTCCTCCAGTTTTTTTGGCCTGTTATTTCCATACAGACAGTGAGGGTGTAGAGATAACTGTTGAATGTAAATAAAGTTTCTGCTGCCTGTAGTATTTTGTGTAATGGAAAAATCTTTTGGTTTGTCCCTATTGAACAAAAATGAGTAATGAATGAGTTGCACTTTCTGTTTTTTTGTTTTTATTATAAACCTAAACTTTGTTTTGAAGTGAAACATTTTGGATGTGGAAAGCCTGATTATAAATTTGGAGCCTCCTGAATCTCAGTTTTCGCGCACGCGCGCGCGCACACACACACACACACACACACACACACACGCACGCACACACACACACACACACACACACACACAAAATGAGTTTTTGTGACATATTTTTTTTTTCCTTTTAATTTAGTGTGTTGTCGGTGGTTGCAATGCCAGCTTTGCATCTCAGGGAGGGCTAGCTCGTCATGTACCCACACACTTCAGTCAGCAGAATTCTTCAAAAGTTGCCAGCCAGCCAAAGGCCAAAGAGGAATCTCCTTCTAAAGCTGGAATGAACAAGCGGAGGAAGTTAAAGAATAAAAGACGACGCTCATTACGTAAGTATTTAACCTGAGAGGAAAACTATCATAGCTATTTATTTGTATCTTTAGACATTGGTGGGAACCCATTTGTGGCTATCCCTGTAATTTTCTCCTTCTTCTAATAGATACTTTTCATCATGTAACCATTGGGTTAGCTTTTTTTTCTTACATTTTGTTTTTCATTATGAGAATTAAACCAAATCTGTCCTAAACTATGGAGAACATTGTTGATTTATACTACTGGCCAAGTACAACTTGAATTTCTACTTTTTCTTTTTTTTAAGGTTTTACCTAGGAAGGAATTAATGTAGAAATTTTAATATTCTTAAAAATGCTGGAAAATATGCACGTTCATACTTTGCACTTCATATTGTCACGACGTGTGAAAGTTAACTTGTATCCTTAGTTTTTTTTTATGTAAACAGATCTTAAGATAACATCTTTGGGTTCTCTCATAAATTAAAAAAGGAAAGATAAAAAATGTCCCAGACAAATTTGAGTATTTAGTACTTGTATAAAGTACATGTGGCAGGAAAATACAGATTGCATTAAGAGTCAGTGCAATTTAGTGCTTGTTGTCATGACAAGCTGAATGGTTCCTAGTTATTGCAATAAGGGATTTAATAAAATCTGCCAAATCATAAAGATAAGAGACCTATTATGAGAGAATGCATTTTTTTGTTGTAGGTAAAATGTAAGCTGCTTGATTAAACTAGTACCATGTTATGCATCTAGTAAGCTCATAGTTAATATTTGTTGATTTGAGTAGAATTATAGGTGTTTCCTATTTAAGTTCAGGGTCCTTATTAATGAATCATCCTGAGCTCTTTTCCTCACACTATGAGGAAACTTTCATACACAATGAATTTTTTTATTCTGGAAGGAGTATGCTTTTTCCTTTTTACCAGTAAAACTTAAAGTGATGTCATAAGCATGTCATTTATGCAGTATTAAGGCAGTGAGCTGAGCAGAATACAAAAGTGAAAAGGATATGATCCCTACTCTCAGCGACTTTGTAGTTTTGGTGAGGAAGTGAAACATGTAGGCAAATTGCTACAGAAGAATAAGGTAGTTTTTTGATTACAGGTAAGAATTAGAAAGCTTGGTTACAAAGTTTTAACGTCTGGGTAGGATCACTCTAAGAATGGAGGGAAAAGGGTGAATGTAGACGTGGAAGTTGCTTTGAAATGAATGGAAGAAGGAATCTGAGTGTTGGCAAGGCTTTAGTGGATAGAAGAGGGGAAGAAAAATAATAGACAATGCATTAAAAAGATTTTTAAGTTTTATATTTCAAAGAAAAAAGCTTTTAACAATGATTGATTTCTTGTTAAGTTGTTGTAGAGAGGCTCAGAAGTACTTGTACAACTAGTAAGAGTGAGAGTTAGAACCTGACTTCCATCACTTAATTCACAATCACACAACATAAATCAACCTTTGTTCATTCAACAAATTTTGAAGTGTCTATTATTTCCTTTATGCTATAGATACAATACATAAAACAAACTCCTGTATTTTTTTTGAGGTGGGCTTCAACATCTATGTACGCAAATGTATTGCAAAGTAATTGGAGCAGAGAGAGAGATATGATAACAATTGGGCAGGTTAGTGAAGACCTCAAGGAGAAGGTGGTACCTGAACTCAGCTTTGAAGGAAGTGTTCTGAAAATGTATAGACAAGATTTTGGTAATCTTCTACAAATGAACAGAGGCAGAGAGTTTATAATGTTTGGAGAACAACATGTAGACTGTTTGCCAACAAGATATGTTGGTGCTAATTTGTGGAGGGCCTGTAATAGTGGAGGAATTGTTTTATCTTAGAGGTGGTAGGGAGTCACTTAAGTTTTTTGATGTAAGAAGTGACTTGGTCAGACTTTTTGCTTTAGGAAGATAATTTTGGCAGCCATATCTGAAGGATTAAGTAGAGAAGGGAGAGACTGGGAATAGGGAACTGCAGAGAGGTGACTATGGAAGTAAAGAGAAGGGAATTGATCTGAGGTGAGTTGGAGTTAGGTGTGAAGGAATGAGAGAAAGGAACTTGGGTGATTGTGAATGGTTGTGCCCTCAACAGAAATAGAAATTTGGAAGAAGAGCTTAAGGTGGAAGGTGAATTCAGTTTTGTACAGATTTTATTTTGTGATGATAATGCCTAGGAAATTGGAAATAAGGAAGAGTGTTGGGAAGGAGTAGGGAGGTCGTGAGGGAGAAGCATCGGTGTCACAGTAAAGATTGAAGAACAGTTTTAGGGAAGAGTGATGCTGGTGAATGGCGGGGTGATACATGGAATGACTTGGATGTCATCTAATCTAACACTCTTAATTTTACATATAAAACTGAAGCCAAGAGAAGTTTAGTTGACCTGCTTATATTCACATGGTTATCATTAAGTGACAGAGGCAGTATTTGAACTTTGGTCATAATTCCAAATTCAACTGTTTATTCTACACATACTGCAGATTGGAGATGGAATTCATGGCAGTTGAAGAGGTTGCTGAACTGGATTAAAAATGACTGGGAATATTGAAATCTCTCAAATTTTGAAGGCAGGGCGTGGAGTTCACACGAAGACTTTTAGTGCCGATTCTGGTGAACTCCTTTAGTCATAGTCATAGCAGCAGCTATGTCCTGGGAACTCATAAATCTGTAATGTCATTAAGTGTTAGGCACGTCAAACTAATGAAGTTCCTAAAGTTGCCTGATCATGTAGTGCGGGATTGGTTAAAAAAACAAACAGATAAACATGGTTTTATCTGAGCTCTGTGGTAACGAAACATATACTTTATTTGCTATTTCTTGAGAACAGCCCTGTTGGAAAGGCATTTGGTAAAGTTTATATACACTTTTTAGGATTACGGTTTATTATGTTTTGTTGAAATCTAAAAAGATATTCATATTCTTGTAATCCATTGAACAGCTTCAAATAGTTTTAAATGAAAGCTGTTTAACTTAGAAACTTTTACGTCTTCAGGCATTAAAAGTAACCTCAGAATATTCTTATTACAGTTTAAAATCAGTCAAGCATTTAAGTTCCTGTGTGTTAAGCACTGTCAATTGCAAACGACATGAATGACACGATCCCTCTTAAGGAGCTTACATTTTAATGGGGAGGACACATGTGTTTCTATATCTACTTACAAAATAAATATAAACAGTTGTAGGTGCTGTGTGTATGTGTGTGGGGTGTCAGCAAAGTCTTGCAGAAATTTATCTTTAGGAAAGTGACTCACTGAGGTAAAGGTGAAGAGGGAGTGAATTCTAGACATAGGGGATGGGGAATGCATGGCCGCATCTGTGCTTAATGAAAATTATTTTGTTATCAGTATAATAGGATGGATAGGAGTGGCAAGAGATTCTAGGAAAGGAGGCCAATTAGCTTGTTGGATTAATCTTGAGAGAAAATATGATAGTAGCTCTGAGAGGAGAAAAGGGGTCAGAATCAAGACATTTTATAGGTAGAAGCAGTTAAAATTTGACAAAAAAATTGTATATTGTTAGTAGGTGAGGATGAGTAAGGAGTTCAGATTTATGCTGGGATTATTATTAACCTTTGACAGAAATTTTGAAGAGGAATGAAGCTTTGGGAAATGAAACTGAGTTTTGGGTATTTTGATTTTTGAGATGTCTATGTAAGATGTCCAATAGGTCATTAGTGATTTGGGGGACTGTAGCTGTCAATGACATTGCAGTAAGTTGCAGACTATTAGTAATAGGTTGAAATATATGGTTGTAGGTTTACTTCTTTGTCTAGTACTAATTTAGGGATTTAGAGATTAGGGAAAGTTTCTTGGGCAAGGTAACTGCATAGAGCACATTGCTTGACAGGTTGAATTTTTAAAAAATAACATTTTGTGTTTTTCGTTTTTTCAGCACGACCCCACGACTTCTTTGATGCACAGACACTGGATGCAATACGACATCGAGCCATATGCTTTAATCTCTCAGCCCATATAGAAAGCTTAGGAAAGGGACACAGTGTTGTTTTTCATAGTACTGTAAGTATTCTGGGTTTGTTTGTTTTTTTGCTTATTAAACATACATATACCCCTGAATTTTAAATACAAAGAAAAAGGTGTATATGATTTTATTTTGTCATAAGTTTACCCTTAAATTGTCTCCCGTCAGTGTGGATTTATCAAATATCTGTTGTCTGGTAGGCATTTTATGAATGAAGTACTCTGTATTCACAAGGAGATTTTGAGTTCTGCTTGGAAACTTCATAGGGAAATAGAAGTATAGGCAATTTATATAAAGAATAAATAGAAGGTGGCCGCTAGTTGGCACTGTGGGTAGAGCACTGGCCCTGGAATCAGGAGGACCTGAGTTCAAATGTGATCCTCCAACCAAACGCTTGATACTTACTAGCTGTGTGACCCTAACCCTAGGCAAGTCACTTGAAAAGTGTTCACTATACTAAAACCATTCATGAAAGCAAAAATGAGTCCTATTACTTAGTAGAGATTAACTTATTTGGGTGGAGAGGAGAAATTTTTCAAAGAATAAGAAAACTGAAAGTGGAATTTGTGTCATTGGATAGTGAAAGACTATTTCTGTAATCCCCTACCCCAGTCCTACCTTCATACACATTTTTTTAAGGAGTTTAGGGAAGAGGGAATTGAGTTTCCCATAGGTTACTGCAGAGAATCTAATATCAACATAGGAGAGAGAAGGTTGATTTTGAATAAAGATAAATTTGTTCCCAATGGAAAACTAAAGAAGTCCAAAAAGTTGTGCTGAAGGAGCTTCCCACTTAAATAGGGTTTAATTCTTTCAGGTGCATGATTGAGAATAGCGCTCAGAGGGATGGAGACAGACAGAAAGATAAGAAGAAAGTATTGCTGTGGGAAGCAGAATTGAGATTGATTTTAGGGTCTAAGGCAAGCAGATGGAAGAACTGCTTTATAATAATGTTTTAAAGAATTCTGTTCCTGGGGCAGCTTGGTGGCGCAATGGATAGAGCACCTGCCCTGTAGTCAGGAGGACCTGAGTTCATATCTGGTCTCAGATACTTGACACTTAATAGCTGGGTGACCCTGGGCAAGTTGGGAACACAGTCCTAATGTTATGCTAAGGCCTGTGATTCTTGATAAAAAAATTGTGCAAGTGAATCCCATAGGAGGTGAAAAATAATTTTTTAAAAACATCGCTGTGGTGATTGGAAATTTTTAATGAATGAAACTCACAAAGAAAAAAATTTTTTTTGAAAATTATTTTCTTTTGACAGTGTCTTTATCCATTCCAAGTCTTTAAGAATAGATAGTTCATCAAAAATACCTATCCTATTGAGGTATTATCTGCTTTTTAGGTATCTTTTTAAAAGAATGATAAATAATAATTGGTTCTCTTTCTCTTTGAAGAACTTGCTTTTCTGTCTTCTCCAGAAGAGGTCAGCAGAATGTTAGTTATTATTTGATTTGCTTTAATTTTTAGTATACGAGGCTAAGATTAACTACCTTCTAATTACAGTGTTTTGTTTTAAGTTTATAGTATCTTCTAGAATTCTTTAAATTTCTCCAGTGTTTAAATCTTTCATTTGGGATAGACTAGACTTAGCAGTAATTTAAAAGTTTAAAGTTAAAGGGATAACATTTATACCTATTAAATCCCTAATACGCAAAATTACATTGTCTACCAGGGATGTTCTTAAATAATCAAAAGTATTTTATTCTTTAGATAAAATTCCAATTTTCATTTGAAATAATTGACTCTTAAATGATTCAAGTATGGACCTTATTAATAAATTCAAGTTGCCATTGGTCAATCTAGTATGAAAAAGGATAACAATTATGGAACATATTTTGATCCATCTATTAGCATAGGACTTTTAGTACTGACATCTTAGCTTTTCATATCTTGACTTTCTCATTTTTTATAGGCTATTTATCATTGACTTACATAATTAATATTAAAGTTAAGCTCTTAAACAAAGAAATTGCCTTTTTTGAGTTAACCAACTATCCTTTTAACTTGTCAATTGAAAACTGCTTTTATTTTAGATATGAAACTGAAAAAAACTTTTGAAAAAGATTCTACATTTCACATTACCTTTTAATTGCATTTTTGGGAAAAGGTGTATTTAGTGTTTTGTTACATTTAATTTTTCCTCTTTTTCTTAGTTCAGTATGGAGGCCATTTAAAAAAATGATTGAATTGATTATGATTGGTACTGGAGGAAGTGGGAGAAACACATGTAATTTCCTTGTTTTAAATGTACGTTTTCCACATTTCTTTGTCATTTTAAATACCATTTATAGGTAATAGCCAAGAGAAAAGAAGATTCTGGAAAGATAAAACTGCTGCTTCATTGGATGCCAGAAGATATGTAAGTATTAGAAATTTTAGAAGTGAACTACTGTTGGGTTAGTATCTAGATCTTTAATTAGAGAATTATAATGGTAAACACAATTTCCTAAATAGTTTTCTTTTAACCAATCGTTAACAATACTCAAGCTCTATTATTTTTTTTTTACTTTTTAATTTTTTTTTCACAATTTTCTTTCTTCTTTCTTTTTTTTTCCTAGGCAGTGAGATTTGCCCAGGGTCACACAGCTAGTGTTTGAGGCCAATTTGAACTCAGGTTTTCCTGACTTCAAGGCGCCACCTAGCTGCCCCTGTACAGTTTTCTTTTACATGTACTAACGTGTTCAGTATTTTTACCTTTTTGGGGGTGGAGGAAGGTGAGATTCTTGGATGTATAAATAATGGTACCAATATATTATAGAGGAGACAGTATATTCAGGAGACTTTTGATTTCTGATTTGGACTCTGCCACTTGCAAACACTTTACTGTGGGGAAGTTAATACATTCTTCTTTTTTTAAGCTCTTACTTTCTTCATGTGTAGAATGAATGAGATGGAATAGAAGATTCCTTCTAGTTCTAAAATTTTATGATTTTTACTTTTATAGCTTGCCTACATAATTGTTATAGATTTAAATGTTCCTACCTTTATTTTCTCAAACAAGTACTTTTTAATTACACAAGTAGTTGTTTTCTTGAGCTGGTACTGCTTCTTCTCCATGTTCGTATTTGAATGTCTGGCCAATATCTGTAGCTTCAGAAAGCAGGCCTTAAGTAAGACCTAAAGTAGATTTTGAGCAATTGAAGACATCTGACAAAACTTACAGGCAGAATTCTACTAAGATTTTGAGCTACATAGGATATTATATTGTTTGGTGGCCTCTGTGTCTCCTGTTCTTCTACTCAGAGAGGAATAGGTGAGATGAATCACTGAATGTCAGAAAGTGAAAGACAAGGAAGTTGACAGAATTATTTGTGTGGGGTGGGATGGGGTGGGGAGGTAGTTAGGCAGGATGATAGTGAGATAGGGGCACCCAGTTAAGGCTGGCTTTAAAAGATCAGGGATGAAATATGCTAAATCGTTGTGGAATTAAACTTTTAGTTTATTCTGTTTTTTCAGTAGTAATGGAATTTGATTTGGTTTGCATTAAATGTTGAAACATTTTAATGCAGGAATATGTCAGCTAATAAAGTTAAGAATGCAAAACTAATCTACTCTTCTTTAGGCTTTTTATGGAGCTTTTATAGTTATAATTTCAAAACTATTAAGATCTTTCAGTTCAAAAAGGAAATATTTGCTTGGCATCAGTAGAACATTAACAGCTATGGAATATTTATTACTAAAGACACGCCCTTAAGAAGCATCACCTTTCATAATTTCTAGTAACAGTATTTTAAAGCCAGAATGTTCCTTTAAGGTTTATAATTGTACATTTACATTTAACTTATGGGTGAGAAAGAAGTGATCTTTAAAAATGTTTTGTTTTTTTCCCCATAGTTTGCCTGATGTGTGGGTAAATGAAAGTGAACGACATCAACTAAAAACTAAAGTAGTTCATTTATCAAAGCTACCCAAAGACACTGCCTTGCTTTTGGACCCAAACATATACAGGTAATTTCATTTTGAAGTTCCTTTATGAAGCATAATCATTAAGACTCACTAAGCTTTTAAAAAATATTGTATGTTGAAATTAATGCAAGAAATTGTTAGGGTAGGAATGTCAGTCTTGGTTAGTGCCCAGCAAGTTCTGAGGTTTTAAGAAATTCTTAAATAATCTACCTTCATGAACTGAAATCTAGTTACTGAGAAAGAGGGAATGTGTTTATTTACCAAGTGTATTTTACTTTTTTGTGCTTGGTGTACAGAAATTCTAGTAAAAGAAGTACATACAGTGGAATCCTGAAAGATCACTTCTGTTAAGATCACATACTGGTTTGTATGCTAATTTTTTTCAAGTCCAAATTTATCTTAAGTATTTACTGTTCAGTTGTAATACAATGTAGTATTACTTTGAAACCAGTACTTTTCATGTAAGTACTGCCATTTTTTTGGTAAGACTTTGTGGGGGAGGGAAAGAAAGTGCATATTAAGTGTTCTAGGTAGTTTAAACAGTTTGATTTTCAAAAAATGTTTCTTTGCTGACACAGGGTTAAGTTTATTAAATTGAAATGGTCACATTTATTGTAGGGGGTCTCTTCTCTCCCCCCCCCCCCCCCATTCTGGCCTGCTTTTACATTGGTGTATTATGTTTAAACCATAATTCACAGAATACAAATAAAAACTTTTAAAAAATGCTCAAATACTGCAAGAAGTTTAGGATATACTGATAACGAAATTAAATTCTTGCAGCAAATTATAGTTTTATTCATGTCGCCAGTTAATCTTTGGCAGATAACTACAGGACTAAAATAACATTCACTTAGCATAATGCATTGTATATGTACATTAGGAATTTAATAAATTTTTGTTGAGCTGATTTGTAATCTATAATGGCCAACAGGTATTGGGAATTATTTTCTATTTCACTCCTGATCAAATTGAGGTTTTTTAAGTGGAGCTTTGAATAAATGGAAATACTTTTCATTTTAGGCATTTTGAAGCACAATTTACTTGTTCATTTTTTTTTTTTGGAGCATTATTCAACACAACTGAATCCTAATACAGCAAAGTAATTGCTCTGAATTTTGCATCTGTTTTTCACCTTTTGGAGTTCAGAGTGGGGAAATACCCAATTCAGATTCAACAAATATTCCTTAAGGTATAAGTAAAAGCTATGAGCATAGACTCTGTGCATCCTATGTTTGGATCTATTCTCCTTTTGATACCCCACTCCTTCCATGAATTTCCTGTATTTAAAAAATAAATGACCACCACTTTACCCATATTTATGTTTTCTCAAGATTATTATGTGGTGGTTGGAAATAAGTCTTTAGTTGCTAATGTTAACTTGTTTTGATATTGTAAATGTATTGTGACAGTTGAGTTGTAGTGCTTCCTTAGTCTCTTGAAATCGTAGAGATGTTCCACATTGAATAATCATAGATCGGGCCAGCCTTTGAGTCAGGAAGATCTTTCAGTAATGTATAAAGTAATGACTATAGGAAAGGCCCATAACCTCTAAGTGCCCCAGGCAACTTTTAAAAAATTGTAAGTTATAGATTACTTACTGATCTGCATTTTTGGAGAGAGTTTGCACACAGGATTTCTATACTAGGAATTTCCCATACTGATAAGCCCCAAACCCCGTCTCTTTTTGACCCTTTCCAAGAGGAAGCCCTCCTCTGAGGTTGGCTGTTCTATATAACTATAGAAAAGTAGAGTACTACTTTCACAGATGGTTTCCAATTGGGGTTGGGAAGGCTATTATAGTTGGGGATTGTGGGCCATCCTTGTAGTTTGCCTAGGCCTCAATATCTGCACATATTTAGGGGTTAGACTGAAATAATTCTAAATTTCCATCCATCTCTAAACGTTTTTGATTTTTGGTTCTGCATCATTAGGGAGCTGAATTCCTTTAAGGGATTGAGGAAAACATTTTTTAAAGTTATCTAATTTATGTTGGATATAAAATTTCTTATGATAGAATATAGTACAACTGATGAACTGGTCTAATGAAATAAACCTTAGCATTGATATGTACATTAAAGGAATTCCTTCTAAATTGCTCTTTCATTAGAATCACTTATTTGTCATCTCATAGACAGATATTCTTTTGGGAAAAAATACAAATATTGATACTTCTTAAGAAACAAGAAATTTCAGATATAGGGTGAGCTAGTAAACATGAAAATTTTAGCAGAGGGTAAATAGTAAATAGTAGAATCTAAAAACTTGAATAAATAAATTCCACAGAAAAGTGTCAGATAAGAAATATTACATGTATATATTTTACTATGAAAGAATTTATCATGAATAGTTGTCTTGTTTGTAGTTTTTAAAAACCTTTACAATAAAACACATTTTTTCTTTTTTCTAGAACAATGCCACAGAAGAGGTTGAAGAGGTAAAAATAATAATAAATAAATAAAGCAAACAAACGGGGGATACCTACAGTCTTAGTCACTGACAATGGGTTTAGGAACAAAGTTGCACATTAGAGTCAACCCCTTTTTTCTCCTCCCTCCCCCAGTATTTAGATAATATTTATGCTTAGTGTAAACATTCTGTGAATGAAGTAGATGCTTCTGTGGAATGTATTAATATATTACTGTATATCCACATTTTCATGGAATGGTACAGTGGGAGACTGAGCAACCACTCTTCTGGCAACTTAGTGGAACAACTTCTTAAAAGCTTTGCATGCTTGCTGCTTTAAGCTGCTTTTCTTTAGTGATTCCAGTAGTTTATATTTGAAAAACATTATTACAATTTGTGCCCTTAACAAATTTCAAAAGCACTCTAAGAATATTTGTCTCTACAGTGTTCATTGATTTAAACTCAATTAATATATTAAGACAATGAAAATTATCAGGAGATAATTTTAATTTTCAATTATGATTAATAGATGTGATTGGTTGCCATTTGTGTTCTTTTGCAGAACTCTGATAAGAAAAGTATTCAATTTGTATTTAAGCAAACAGTGAACGTCATTTGCAATCAACCAAAAATTTCATCTATCGAATTAGGGCTGAAACTTAAACTGTTAAGAGTGTTGCAGTATGTCTGGTGACTCCCTTTTCAGGATTAGGGCTTTCTCATGGAGTACAGTATGTTAATATTTACTTACATAATGAATCTGTTAACGGTTTTTGAAAAACCTGTTTCAAAATTTTTGAATACTCATGATGTTTTCATTTTAAGACCGGTTTTTTTCATGAGAAAAGCAATTGTTTTTTTTTGTTCATGTAAGAAAAAAATTGTATTTTTTTTTTTACATATCTGGAAATTGAATTCTTTATGCACCAAAGTTGGTTTGGGAAAATAAATCACTTTTCTTGCTTATTAAGCAAGAAGCCATATGGATTTTTTTTAAACTTAAAGAAATAGAAAATTGTGTAACTTGTTAGTCTTGTATGGAGACAAAAATGTTGCATAGAGATAATAGAAGGTTGCTTGTAAATAATTCAGCAGATTTGTAATATATTTTTATATTATGAAATGTACTGTAGATGTTTTTCTAGAGGCATGAAAGTTAAAATGTATATATTATGGTAGAAATAATATTGAAGGATATTGTAATTCACTAGTGCTGCCAGAAGAATTGTTAATAAAGCACCTTCCTTAACAATAAATGTCTTTTGGAGACTTAAGGGACTATGTACTACTGTTAATATCTGTTGTAAGAATGAAATACGTTGAACATCCTTCCAGAAGTCTTTGAGGGATGACCAGTAACCATAATAGAATTATGGCACTCATTTCCGACAGTGGCTGTGAAATCAATTATTTCCTTACTGTTGGAAGGACCTATTGTAAAGTATGTGGTAATGTGCAGTCAAACTGCATAAAATCCTCCTAATTGAGGAGTCTTCACTTTACTACAGTAAATATAAAAACCAGCAGTTTTTACACTAAATTTTTTTAAAGAAGAGACAAAAGTTTAGAATTAACCCTTTGGTTCCAAGATGAGAATTTTCATGATATACAGTGCATTTTGCATTTACATAATTTTTTAAAAAAATTAAAAAAAAAATAAACATGAGAGGCCTTCTTGGTTCCAGTGGGTTAAAAAGCTCTAGAAATAACGAGTCATGAAATTAAATGAAGTGCAATTACAGCACTAATGTTAAGACATTCTGGAAAGGTTGTTTAATAAGAATATTATACTTAAGCTCTGTAGCAATGTGATATTTTTTTTTCTTTTTTTCTTTTTTTGTGGGTTTTTTTTTCTTTTTGGATTTTTCTTTTGGTTTCTGTTCTTTTGCTGGAGCACTTCATCTACTGCTTTATTCTGTACCTATAAAGTAACCTGCAATCTCCATTGTTATCTTAAATTTGTTATGAAATTGCCAATAATCGGATATATAATTTGTATCTGTATTTTATTTTATTGCTTCATGTCCTTGTAAGTCATTCATAATTGACAGATGATTGTAGCCCTTGCCTAAGTATTTTTTCTAATAAAACAAAGCAAATCACATCTAGCTTGAAAGTTGTTACCTTTCAGTGTAATTTGTAAGTGGCAATTGAAGATTTAAAGTACATGTCCTTTTTGATGTATCTCATTTCTGTCAGTTAAGATTCTCAGTTTGATTAATTTGAATCATATGTACCTTTTCCCTTAATTTTTCCTCACTTCCATACCCACTGTTGCTGTTAGCTGGTCTTGATTCACATTATTACCTATTCATACTGTTCCTGAAAGAGATTATTGGAAGACAAAGCAGGGAAAGAAAATAAGTAGCAAAAGAAAGTATCATTGCTTCCTTATAGTGGTGCACATGGATAACAACACATTGGTAGAGATTTCAGACATCAAAATCAGTCTATGATTTATCTTCTTTTTTATGTTACTCCAGTTGGCAATAGTAATTCACCATAGAGACTTAATAGAAAAAGGAATAATTAGGCATATAAAATGTAATATTTCTTACATTCTTCAGTATTGCTATTTTGACTTTAACATCCATCAACAAGTCCCATGTTATTTCTAAGTATTGCCATCCACATTATGCTCTGCCCTACTTACTATGTAGCCAATAGCATCTTTTTTTTTTTTTGGCCTCTATGTTTGGGTCAATAAAAAGAATGGTTTATTGTTCTGTACCTCTTAGATGTATCAATATTTGTCCAATATTTTCTTCAAAAAAGTGAAAATAGAATTTGGATTTTAAAAATCGGATAAAGTTAAATGCATTTTAGATACTGCATATAAATTGCATCTGGCCCTCAAATATTGCAAAGCCTTTTAAGTAAGCTCTGATGTGACTCAAGGGTTTTGCATAATCATCCAAAAAGACAGAACCAAGTGGAGGAAGAATGCCTGTTGTTCAGACTGATTACATGTAATTAGATAAACAGCTCTTAGAGTTAGTCTTGCACAGTTTGGACTGATGGTGCAAATGGATAGTAGTGGTCTGGGCCCAGGAAGAGAATAGATTGGATGGCCTCTGTGATTGTTTTGCGGTACTTTTTATGAACCCAAATACCATTTATGACTCCGTGAAACAAAAATACCAGTCTCTGAATACTTAAATGTAGTTGGTTATGCAAAAGATGGTGGTGTGTCAGCAGCCAACAATGTCATCAGCGAACTATTACATAGCAGATCTGGCATAAAGGATGTCTGTGTGTCATGTGACTGGACCAAAAGGTAGACTAGTAACTAACTGAAGAATACCTTGTGTGTACTTGATCAATGTCGAGATCTACAGGAACAATTTTTGCGCGACCCCTTGTGACAGATACTGACAGGAGTTTTTACATAGATGAGTTTTGATCATCAGAGAAGTCAGAAAAATCAGTTGATAAATATTAGACATTAAGAATAAAGTTTTATGTATATTAAGAATAGTAAATAAACTAGTATTAGCTAGCATTTATATAGAGCTTTAACACTTGCAAAGTGCATAACAAATATCTCATCTTACTTGCACACAGACCTGAGCAGTAGATGCTGTTCCCCATTTTACAGGTAAGGAAACTGAGGCAGACCAGAAATTAAGTGACCTGCCCAGAGTTACAGCTAATTAGTTAAGTGTCAGAGGCTAGATTTATACTCAGGTCTTCCTGACTCTCATTCAGCATTCCTCATTTCTGCCTAATAGCCTCTACTGAAGGAGACATATAAATAGTCACAGAATAGCTGGAGTAATCTGGAACAGTCTCTTGCGGAAGGTGATAATTGAAGTCAATCTTAATGAAAGCACAGCTGACTAGGTACAGTATTCCACCGTTGGGGGTAGCCAGTATAAAAGCATAGGAGATGAGATACCATTTGCAAGAAACTACAAATTGTCTGGTATATTGCAGGACCTTAATGATGAGATTGGAGATCTCTCCTATGAGAAGATTGAAAAGGCAGAAACAGTTGTCTATTTTGTGAAAATCCTTAAATGCCTAGTTTATTCATGATGGGTGCTAGGTATATACCTATAGTGTAAGAAGCTTTGTGGTAGGTAGATGGGAGTGGGGGGAAAAGTCAAGGAGACTACTAATTCAATTGGCCTGCTACAATACTGTAAGTCAGAGCTAAGTGGTGACTGAATCGAAGGAAGGCAATGGTATAGGAGAGTCCAGAAGGTAAAAATTGTAAAATAAACTGAGTATGTGATAAGAATGAGAGTGAGATGTTGATGCCAGGGTTTTGAACTTGGGAAAGATGGAGGGAAGTGTTGGCACCCAAATTCATAATGGAAATGTGAAAGAAGGAAGATTGGAGAAAAGAGAATTGGCTTGAGATGGCTATGGAACATACTTTAGATGTCAACAGGTAGTGGGATTAGAGGTCAAGCGGCTAGATTTGGGTATGTAGGATCTTAGATTCAGCATAGGGAGGAAAACTGAACTAATTATTGGAAGCTAATGAGATCACCAAAGGAGATATGTATCGGCCTAGGAATCTATAATTCTTTGGATTTGACAAGGATTGTGATCCAGTGATCTGGGGCTGAGAGATGGCTAGACAAGGTAAAAGGCTACAAGAGAGAACTAAATCATTGTCACAGAAACTTAAGGGAAGGTGTCCAGTGGAAGGAGTTCAATAGTGTCAGTGTTGCAAGAGGTCTGGGAGCATGAGGATTGAGAAAAGGCAGTTTAATTTGGAGATAAAGAGGGCTTTGGTAATTTTGGATAAAGCACTTTCAATTGAATAATGAGGTTGAAAGTCAGATTGCTGTTAAAGAGAAGAAAGGAAATTGAGGTACTGATTGGAGACTGCTTTCTCAAGGAATTTCTCCAGAAAAGGGAGGAGACAGACATAAGGAATTAGCTGCTGGGGATCCATGGAGCAAATAGGATTTTTTAAAAGTGTGGTAAGGTGGTGTCATTCTACTGAAAGGGAGTTTCCTGTGTCCAGAGTACATGTCCATAGGAGATGAGTAAAGGAGTACATAGTAGAGTATGTTATGAGATAAAAGGGGATAAGAGGGAGCTTTCAGTAAATTTTCAATAAATAGTGAATTTGGGGCAGGGGGTAAAGAATGAGGTGAGTTGTGGCACCTTGGGAGGTTTGAGTATGTTTTGGGACTTGTGGAGAGTTAGATAGAGAATTAAGTGTGGAAGGATTGGCCTCTTGTTAAAGGGCCCAGTTGAGATTATATAAAATAAGTGTTAATGAATAGCCTCTCAGGCTTGAATAATGTTTACTTTTGATGTCAATTATTCATAGCTCATTTAAAAAAGTACCCAGCTTGGTATATTACTTTTTTTTAAAGGCTCTGCAATCAGTGTTCTGAAAAATGGTCATTTCATTGTTACCAGAGTTTGAAGCTTTGTATTTGGAATTGGTGTTTAAAAAAAAATGCTGGTGACTCACATATCCATTAATATATTAAAAAATTCAACTCGGGAGTTTTGTCAGACCATCAGTACGAAATGTTATTAGTGCATAAAACAGTTCATCCTAGTTATTACAGCACTTTATCTGTTAGGTATGTGTTTTAGCCTTAAGTGGTAATGTTCAGGAACAGTCACTCATTTACTAAGCAGTTACAACATTGTTTCAGTCAACATGCTTAGGGCTATGGAAACAAAGACAGTCAGGCACTTTCCTCGAGGAATTTATCTACTAATAAGTAGACAATATAAATATATATGTGCAATGGAAATATAAATCATAGGCATGTAGAAAACTTTAAGCAATACAAAACACTCATTTGTAGTGATCAGGAAAAGGTTTCATCCAAAACAAGCATCCTGAAAGGTTTAGGGAAGGAGAACATGCCAGGTATGATGCACCCTTAGTTCAAAGTTACACCAATAGAAGATGGTGTGTTGTGTGAGGAATAGAAGGGTCAGAATGAATGGACTATATAAAGTGTATAGAGTGGGGAATGTGTATAAAGTTGTAAAGGTAGTATGGGCGTAGGTTGTCAGTCATTTATCATGTGCTAAATGCTGGAGATACAAAGGTGAAAGATAATCCTTGCCCTCAAGGAGTTTATGATCTAATGGGGAAAATAACAAGCAGACAAATATGTACAATCTGTGTACAGCATAAATAGGAAATGATTAACAGAAGGAAACCTCTGAAATTAAGAGTAATTGGGAAAGACTCCTATAGAATAGAAGATGGGATTTTAGTTGGGCCTTGAGGGACACAGCCAGGCAAAATGTCAAGCTGAAAGAAGTGTTCATGGAACCCGTTTCATGAGTTCCATGGAAGGCAAGGAGAATAGTGTCATTAGATGGAAGAGTATGTGTTTGTGGTGGATTGTGGGTATACAGTGTTATAAGACTTGGAAGATGAGGGGAAGGGTTGATTATGAAGGGCATTGAATGCCAAACAGGATTTTTGTCACTGATTTTGGAAAGAAATTGGGGTGGGAAGGGTTTAGCAATATGTCAGTTTTGGACATATTGAGTTCAAGATATCTGTTGGACACTCAGTCTTAAAGGCAGTTGGAAATGTGAAACCAGAGGTCAGAGAGATAAGTAGATTGGAGAATTCATCACAGAGGTGGAGAAAGCAATTTTTCTAGAATAATGAGGTTGGAATCCAGATTGTAGGAGGTGAAGACAGTGAGAAGAGAGGAATTGGAGGATTCTGTTGTGAAATGGCCTTCTCAAAGAGTTTTGCCACAAAGGGCAGAAGAGATATACATAGGATGATGGCAAATGTTTATAGGCCATAATGAGTCAGTAGACAGTTTGAAGATAAGTGAATGTAATCTCTTGTTTAGAGGGCAAGGAATAGGCCCCCTTTGTTTGAAGGAGGAGATAATGTCAGAAACCATCAGCGATATGAGATGAAGAATGGAGAAAAGGGAGCTTATGGTGAATAGCTTCAATTTTTTTCCTATAAAATATGAGGCACTGTTCTCAGCTGAGCACGTTGGGAGAGGGGCAGTCATGGGAGGTTTGAGCTAGCATGAAAAGGTTTAGAAGAGTTTAGAATGGGGTATCAAATAGATAAAGGAGAAATAGAAGTGTTGCTTAGTTATCTTTGAAGGGCCAGTTGAGGTTGTGTGACATAAATTTGCACTTAAAACT